AGCGCCAAACTCGCTGAGAGCGCGCAATTGCAATCCAATCAGTATGGTCCTCCGCGCCACCATCGTCGGCCTCGTCGTCGCTGCTGCGGCAGCGACCATCAACGACACGACCACGCACACCTTCCTGAGCATCGGCGATTGGGGTGGTGCGTCCATAGACGAGCACGCGCAGGCGACGCACGCCGTGGCCGCCGCTCTGGAGAAGGTCGCGGCCGCGACGAGTCCGCAGCTCGTCGTCAACACGGGCGACAAGCGCGCGCGCCGCGTCCTCTTCTTTTACCCATCGTGCGCGCGTGTATTCACGCGCTCGTAGCTTCTACTGGTGCGGCCTCGTCGACGCGCAGGACAAGCAGGTCCAGACCGACTGGGTCGACACCTATTCGACGCCCGCGCTGAAACACCTGCCCTGGTACAACAGCCTCGGCAACCACGAGTACGGCTACAACGTGTCGGCGCAGATCGCGCTCGCCGACGCGTACCCGACGTGGATTTTGCCGGCCCGCTACTATGCGCGGCGCGTCGAGATCGGGAGCACCGGCAGCCACATGTCTCTGATCGTGCTCGACACGACGCCCTGCACCGCGGCCTACCGCGGCGACGACCCCAAGGAGTGGGACCCATGCTCCACGGAGTTCCCGACGTGCTCCTTGAACGACGGCAACGACGACTTCGAGGGAAAGTGCAACTTTCACGCGAACGTCGCGACGCAGGACTGCCAGGCGCAGTTCGCCTGGTTCCAAAAGGCGCTCGAGGCTGTCCCCGCGGACGACTGGCTCGTCGTCGTCGGCCACTCGCCCGCGGACGACGTCGACGTCGTGGATATCGTCGGCGCGATGCAGACCCACGGCTTCGACCTCTACCTCAACGGCCACGTGCACACGCTCACGCAGTACACCGTCGACGGCGCCGGTGCCTACGTTACCACGGGCGCCGGCTCCATGGTCGCGACGCACGACCAGGACCAGGGCTCCGTGCCGGAGAAGCGGAACGGCGGCGATCCCATCGCGGACGGCGGCCGCCATTCCTACAAGACCGTCTGGAACTCCAAGGTCGCGGGCTTCACGCTCCACACGTTCTCCGCGGACCTGAAGGAGCTCACGACCGACTTCTACGACTACACTGGCGCGGTCATCCACTCGTTCACCGTCACGAAGCGCGGCGCCTAGAACGTCCGGCGCGCCCCTTGTTACCCCTGTTCTGCTGCTTCTCGTTGATGATGCGCCCGAAGTTGTTACCCCCGTCCTACTGCTTCTCGTTGATGATGTCGAGGAGGGCCGCGAGCATGTGGAGGCGCGGCGCGTCGACGCCGAGCTTCGTCGCGCGGCGGAGCGGCTCCTTGAAGATGGCCTCGACCTCCATGCGGTTTCCCGAGAGGAAGTCGCAGGTCGTCGAGGGGACGTAGTCCTGCTCGGCCATCTTGTCCGTGATGGCGCAGAGCGCGTCGACCGTCGCCTCCTCGTCGAGGCGCGGCTCCGCGCCCGCGTGCGCCAGATCCGCGTTCGCGGCCCGGATGACCTCGCGCATGAGGCCGATCGCCGCGGCCTTGCCGCCGTCGCTCCGCCAGAGCGTCCCGACGTTCGAGTTCGAGCACACCGTCGCGCCGTTGAAGGGGATGTTCCAGGCGAGCTTGGACCACTGGGCGAGGCGCAGGCACGGCTGGGGCGCGTACACAATCGCGCCCGGCGGCTTGACGCCGCCGGCCGCGGGGCTCCAGAGCCGCTCCGCGGCGGCGATCTCCGCCGGGTCGTCGACGAAGGAGCCGCCCCGCAGCTCCGTGGCCATGCCCTCGTGGAGCACGGCGTCCGGCGCCGGCCGGCCGAAGCCGCCGTAGACGAGGCCGCCGTGGATTTTCGACGCGCCGAACGCGTCCGCCGCGAGCTCCTCGGCGCCGAGGCCGTTCATGAGCAGCTGGACGCGCGTGCCGTCGCCGACGGCGGGGCCGACGAGCCTCGCCATCTGGCCCGCGCCGTCGCCGTCGAGCGCCGTCGACTTGAGGCCCACGAGCACCCAGTCGAGCGCCTCGCCCGCCGCCGCGAGCTCGCCGGGCGACGACGCGTAGGTCGGCGCGTCGAGCTCGAAGTCGCCCTGCCAGGAGTTGACCGTGAGCGCCTTCGGCGGCGCCTCGCCGGGGTTCAGCAGGAACCGCACGTCGTGGCCCAGCTCCGCGAGGCGCACGCCGAAATAGGTGCCGACGGCGCCGGCGCCGACGATGCCCACCTTGAGCTGCATGGCCTCGCCGCTGAGCCTCCGCGCCGAGACGCGCGACAGCAGCTGCCGGGACAGGCGCGACGCCAACATGCAGCTCTGGCAGGCAGTGGTTGCTGCCAACGCTGTCGGTGATGTGCCGAGCCGCGGCTTCGTTTGCCGGA